GAGTTTACAGTTTAAGTATCCGTGCAGAGCTCACTCTGAAGCTGCAATGGCAGAATACCAATATGAGAGTTCTTCTCATTGCAGAGGAGCATTTGGCTGTTGCTATATGGAAGTTTACCACCCCCAATTGTTACCAGTCCGTAGCTCACCAGTTTGGTGTGCACACCTATTAAGAGGGTGCTGCTGCCCTCGGTCATACATCTTAGCAATGCTAAGGATGGATGGATTTGCCTGGTTGTGGCTACCGAATAGTATTGGGACTACTGATGGAACCCAAATGCCTATTATTTGCCATTCCACACTAGGCATTCGAGTTCAACAGAAAGGGGTATTTCACTATGATGATTCTGGACAAATTAAGCCATTGTAACTGTATTAACATTAGTGGCGTCGTCCTGGTGTCATGTAACACAGTTTGTCCCTTAACCTTGATTAGATTAAAATAGTCCATGGTTTAGACAGTCCAATTTCAATAATAAAATTGAAAATGGTGGGCCTGCTTACTACAGCTTTCAACAGGTATAGATTTGTTGAAGTTAAAAAGTGGTAGTTAACCAAGCCCATTATTTTATATAAATGTACAAAAGTCCAAATACATTATTTTCAGTAGTTTAAAAAGAAATATCATGTAACAGCTGTGAGGAGCCACAAAAACAAATAACCGTTTGCTTACTTACTGGCTATCAGAGTCTTGATGGTGCTTTTGGTTCATTTATGGCTCTGGATCCAGATAAAGATTAGCACTGACCACACAACAATAACCTAATACTGTTGCTTGGGAACACAATGCCAATATTTTCCATGTTGAGATCAGCACCTGTTCTGTCTCTTAAATAGCACAATTTATAAATAACTCATATGAATACAAACATCAACTAGATTTCAGAGTAGCAGCCGTGTTAGTCTGTATCCGCAAAAAGAACAGGAGTACTTGTGGCACCTTAGAGACTAACAAATTTATTAGAGCATAAGCTTTCGTGGGCTACAGCCCACTTCTTCGGATGCATATAGAGTGAAACATATATTGAGGAGATATATATACACACACATACAGAGAGCATGAACAGGTGGGAGTTGTCTTACCAACTCTGAGAGGCCAATTAAGTAAGAGAAAAAAAACTTTTGAAGTGATAATCAACTAGATTCCAATTTTCTAAGAATTACATAAAGGGCTTGTCTACACTACCGCGGTAGTTCGACGGCTGGCAATCGAACTTCCGGGTTCGATTTATCGCGTCTGGTGTGGACGCGATAATTCGAACCAGGAAGTGCTCGCCGTCGACTGCGGTACTCCACGTCAGCGAGAGGAGTACCGCGGAGTCGACGGGGGAGCCTGCCTGCCGTGTGTGGACCGCGTCTGAACCGCGGTAAATTCGAACTAAGGTATGTCGACTTCAGCTACGTTATTCACGTAGCTGAAGTTGCGTACCTTAGATCGAATTGGGGTGTTAGTGTAGACCAGGCCAAAGACAAGGTGTGGGGGGATTAGGCAGATTTCACCTTAATTTAAAAAAAAACACGTGTAATTTGTTTAAACTTTAATATAATCCATTCACTAATTGGTTTTAAGGTTAGAATGGAACAGAAATAATTTCTAGAATTTGAGTTATTTCTTTAGTTATTTCTTTATGCATTGTGTTTAGCAGCTAAGATCAAGTAGTTCACAGAGAGTTATGGTAATGTTTTGTGTAAGTTTTATTGCAAGCCAGATAAAGTACTGTAGAATGAAGGAGAAGAAATAGTTTACAAGGGTGTCTAGTTAAAACCTGGTGTCTTGTTGTTACATACCCCAGGCCTCCATCCTCCAAAATGGGCTATCACACAGGACTTTTGTTTTTACCAAGCACTGGTTGTACCAGTTGTGATGAAGTCCTTTGGCTCATGGTTGGCTGAACCAGGACAATCTACAATGGTTTGTCTGCAGTGTGGACAGGGAGTCACAATCCCTAACTTCAACCCATAGTGCAACGCCTTTAAGTTGAGAAATTACCTAAAAGCTCATATTTTCAATAACAGTGCTGGACAGCATGCACTTAGAATCATAGAATAGCAGGGTTGGAAGGGACCTCAGGAGCTCATCTAGTCCAACCCCCTGCTCAAAGCAGGACCAATCCCCAGACAGATTTTTACCCCAGTTCCCTAAATGGCCCCCTCAAGGATTGAATTTACAACCCTGGGTTTAAGTAGGCCAATACTCAAACCACTGAGCTATTCCTCCCAGGACTTCATGAGTCCTAGAAAGCTGTCTTGCATGTGGGTACTTCAGAAGGGTTCCATCAAAAGTAATGCTGTTGTGTAGATCCTTAAGCCATTGTAAGGACAAATAATGCAGCAAACGGCATCATGCAATCAATGTCCCTGAAACAGCATCCTTGCTAATGGAAGATACTTTTACTCTGGAGAATGATTTTGGGAAGGGGGAGAATATATTTGCATCTGGATAGGTTATTTAATGTTAAACTTGGTCGTAACCCTAGGTAGGTTGGGCAGAGCGTCCGATGAAGCCCAGGATGTAATAAAGTTTGTTCCTTAGTTTACTGCCACATCTACCTGCCTACATGGAAAATAGTCTTTTCCCCAAAAATTCATTGCTTAAAAATATAATAAAACCACATGAAAATGATGGAAGTCATGGGCCCTGACCATAAAGCATCAAATGAAAAGAATTGGCCACTGAGTTCCCCCACCTTAATCTATTGTTCACTGATGAGATCCTTAAGGCTCTGTAATTTATCACACTGCTATCACCACCACATATCTGCTTGCCTTCACACTTTTCTTATCAGTGCATCCAGAGCAGTTGTCACCTTTAAGACACTTGTATTACTTAACATACAGACAAGAGAGGTATTTAGGGCAATTCAAAATGTAAGGGAGATCTCTTATATGTATGCTCTTGGTATACACAAAGTCTTCACAGTAAACCTTTAACTGTTTTATTCTTCTATTAGGTGTTGGGGTGGGCATTTCATGCAGCACTAACAAACTGCTGCATTTAGCATGCTAATTCATTTAATAGTTTTGTAATCCTTTAGTTTCACCACTTGGAAGAAACTAGGAGCTTTAATTAAGAGGTAATGTCAATGGAATAAGAACAATTATCACAGGACAATGGACTCCTGCTGCTTCACAGCCTGAGGCATTTGAGGAAAAATAAATGTTGAAATGAGGCACAAGCACTGCGGCACTGCATCTTTTCTTTTTGCTGTTTCACTGCAGTCCTTCACAATGTCAGCTGCAGTGATAAAACTATAGGCATGGCTACAGTTTATAGTATGGTAGTAGTCACATTACTTATGGACTGTGGGGAGGTGCTCAGATACTACAGTGTTAAATGCAGTATAAGAACCTATGCAGACAGTATAAGATGGGTTCTACAACTCCATCTCTTTGTGAGGATGAGGCCTTAGGCCAGGGCATCAGTGCAGCTACATCCATTGCTTGCCACCAGTGGTGGAGTTGAGTCCCTAGGGTAGGCAAGTTCCTAATGCAGAAGATTTATCAGCTGCTGGTGTTTTTAACTCTGTTGATTAGACCCTCTCAGACAGGTTACATGTCAGTGTTAAAAATGCCAGGCGCAACTGAAAATAACACTATAATCTCTTACGGGGGCTGACGCAATGGCCACTGAAGTCAGGGCCAGTGGGAGTCTGCCCATACGTATTGAAGCAAGTTTATATCATGCTTTTCATCCAGAGATCTCAAAGTCCAAAGACACCAGGAGGAAATAATTAGGAGTACAGTCCTTTGTGTATATCTTTCCCCTAGTTCCACTATCCCTTCTTCTCTCCCTTTGTGGCACTTATATTTTTCTTGGTCCTTCATCATGTTCCATGTTACTCTTGGCTGCATTAGGGCTTATGTAAATCAGGGATATCTGCAGTGGTGTAACAGTCACCCCGGTGCAATCCCCCACACATAGTCACAGGGTACCAGTGCGAAACATGCCAGTTTCCCTAATCTAGACAAGCCCTCAGGTGCATTCAGTGTCCCACCTCAGGCAACTTTTTCATTACCCATTTGACCCCCCGCCCTCCACACACCCTGTTTCCTTTCTAGTTCTAGACCAGTGATTTTCAGCCTTGTTTCATTTGCGGACCCCTAAAATATTTCAAATGGAGGTGTCGACCCCATTGAAAAACTTAGACATATTCTGCGGACCACAGGTTGAAAACCACTGCACTGGAGAGTGTCTCCCCTCTAGTCCCTGGGAGGGAGAAGGGGTTGGGTGGGAGAGGGGGGGGAATGGGGTCTCCTGTACTGAGCTGTCTGTTCACACTGACAATGGAGAAAGGAAAAGCCATGGAGTTAGAGCGTGACCAGTCCCTGGTGCATTAAGTTACTGCCCCATGGCACAGAGAATGGGAAAGCCTCCAGGGCAGCCGTTGTAAACGGATTAACCTCAGTTTTGGTTTGCTCAGGGCCCCCTCCGGCTCCGAATGGATGGGAAACCAGAGCGAGCCGGCTATGTGTGAGCCTGCCCTGCATAACAGTGTGCACCGGCTTCCCCACCTCACCGGGCAAATCGCTCAGCGGAGACAGGCACAGCCCCAGGAGAGGGGGGAGGGGTCTGAGAGATTTTCCTGTCACTATCCAAGCAGCGATTTTTAAATCCTATTTTGTCCCTGGGGCAAACATCTGTGTTCAGAAGGGGCCCATGGCCCACAAGCATCGGGGTCGCCCCTTGTTGTTACCCCGCCGCAGCGCAGCGCAGCCCTTCCATTTGCCCGAGCTTTAGCTGCTGGCCTCTCAGGTAACAGGTGGCAGGTTCCCCAGTCAGGCTCCAAGGGCAGCAGAGGATGACTTCATAGGGGTGGGGCTCTGCGAGGCTGTAGTCGAGGTGGCAGGCAACCTGAGCCAGGGAACAAGTGAACTTGTGAAGTCAAAGACAGGTGAGCTGAGCTGATAGGCAGCTTTTACACTCACCTGGGAAACAAGCACTAAACTCAGCTCCCTAAGAATCGACATTCTCCCAAGGAAGAGGGTTGTCACTGCTGAAAATGGAAACCAAAGAAGCCCCTGGGAAAGAAGGCATGGGAGCCAAGAGGAAGAATTTGACCTTCTTGAAGCACAGACTGTACATGGTGGAGAGAAGGAAGACAGACACTGTTGTTGAGAACAGTGTTTCTGTGGACCAGGGTAACTCTGGCACTTTGAGGAGGAGCCAATCTGACAGGACAGAATACAGCCAGAAGTTACAAGGTAACGGAAAAAAAATTACTTATTTATTATTTGTATTGCAGCCCTATCACAAACCAGGACCCCATTCAAAAAGCTTAAAATCTAAGTGACCATTTCCCCCTCCCACCCACTATGGTCACCATTCCTGGCTGGTTTTATATTTATAAATAATGCCACTTGCACAGGATTCCAAATGGGATTCATATGATGCCCAGCTTTTTAAAGCCTATGTACAAAATATACATGGAACTAAAATCCTACTCTACATGTTAGCCATATTATCTACCAGTTCTCCAGTATTTTGAAAATATGTCTCCGCATGAGCTGATAGTATTTTGTGGAATGGGATATACACTGTCAAACTAATAGAGGTGGGAAGGGATATTTTTGTTTAAGTTAAAGCTTGATTAAATTTAAAAGAAAAATGTGCCTGTTCATCTCTTATCTAGATTGAATGTGTCTGAATTTCAAGTATATCAAATTACATGCCTTTAATAGTTATATGAACTATGTCATCAGAATACCTTTTATGACAATAATCTTGTATCAGGGGAATAAAACAATAACGTGTTTTAATAAAATATGTATGGTTTTGGTGCATTTAATAAAGGAACAGCATTCCCTCAAACGGAAAATATAATGTACATAGCTACTGAGCTGTTGAAATGCAGTTAACAGGTCTGGTGATGACATTCCCTTTCAGTGACTAAAATGCTACCTATTCAGATGTAGTAAGAAGTATGAAGAGCTTTAGGTTAATTTTTCCTCTCTGCAATACTGACTTTAAGGAGAAATTCACTATTAGTTAATTTGCTGGTGCTTAGTGAAAAACAAATCATACTTTGGAATTTGAGTTACTTACAGCTTAATATTTTGAGAAAACAGTAATACTAATATAATTATATCAGTAAAGTTGGAAAAATCTTACTTCATTGTTCTGCCAAAAGAGAAAAGGAACTTAACTATTAGCATATACCAGAATACATGATAGGTGATCTTTATTGAAGGTGCTGCTCCTTCCTCTCACATATATTAGGCTTGAGTCTCTTCTCACTTATATTACTGTAAATCAGGAGTGAGGAAGTCACAGAAGTCTATGGAGTTACAGCAGTGCAAAACTAACTTAAAGTGAGAGAAGATTAGGGCTACTGGGTTTCAGAACTATAGTCCTCTTCTAGTGAATTCAACGAGAAGTCCTTTGGCACCTTAGAGACTAACAAATTTATTTGGGCATAAGCTTTCATGGGCTATAACCCACTTCATCAGCCCATGAAAGCTTATCCCCAAGGTGCCACAAGGACTCCTGGTTGTTTTTGCTGATACAGACTAACACGGCTACCACTCTGAAACCTTCTAGGGAATTGTCATTCTTGATAGCAAAATGAACTGTAACCAATTTGGAAAGGGCCGTGCAAATTTATACTTAGCGGATCTTTAGCAGAGATAATTTAGGGTTTATTTGTGGGGAAGGAAATCTGCAGGGCTGGTCAAACTTGTTAATAAAAATAAGATCTACAGAAGCACTGATCTGATGGTTAACAGTGTCTTATCAAACATTCTCTGAACTAGTGTTTTTTTTGGGTGGGGTGCAGGCAGGGTTTAAGAAATTTTAGTTTAAGTGAAAAATGCTAACTTGATAGATCTGGCAACATTCTCTGAATGGATAGAGAAAGGGAGGCAACCCTGCTCTTTCTCTACAATGTGCCTCAATCCCGTTGAGAAGGCCTCACACACAAAAGGTCTTGTCTACAATGGTATTTAAGTTAAGCCTGTTTATATTAGGAAAATTTGTGAGAGTTTTGGCTGTGCAACACCAGTTGAAACCCCTAATGTAGATGCATGGTACTGGTGGAAAATAGGGCTCTCTAAAAATACTACCTCCACGAGGGGCATAGCTACCAGCACTGGGAGCATGTGCACTGTCTATACTGGTACGTTACAGCACTGAAACTTGCAGCGCTCAGGGGGGTGTTTTTTTACACCCCTGAGCAAGAAAGTTGCAGCACTGTAAAGTGCCAGTGTAGACAAGCCCTTAGACTGACCTAGCTATGTCACGATATAACCCTGTAGTGTAGACACAGGCTATGTCGATGGAAGGAGTTTTTCCATTGCTGAACGAAAACCATCTCTGAGTGATGGTAGCTATGTCAATAGAAGCAGCACATTCACTGGGGCTTGGCTACACTTAAAAGTTATATCATCCTATGTCCTGAGTTTCGTAGTCAGGTTGACCTACCCCCAGCACAGACATGGCTAGATTGACCCAAGAATTCTCTCCACGTCTCGAAGAGGTGGATTACCTACAATTGATGTAGAAACTCCTTCTGTTAATGTAGAAAGTGTCTACACCAGGGGTCAGGAACCTTTCAGAAGTGGTGTGCCTAGTCTTCATTTATTCACTCTGATTTAAGGTTTCACGTGCCAGTAATACATTTTAATGTTTTTAGAAGGTCTCTCTCTCTATAAGTCTATAATATATAACTAAACTATTGTGATATGTAAAGTAAATAAGGTTTTTAAAATGTTTAAGAAGCTTCATTTAAAATTAAATTAAAATGCAGAGCCCCCAGGACCTGGGCAGTGTGAGTGCCACTGAAAATCAGCTCGTGTGCCGCCTTTGGCACGCGTGCCATAGGTTGCCTACCCCTGGTCTACACTAAGGTGCTGCAGCAGCTGCGCCCTTGCTGTGCTTCTGTATCATAGACATAGCCTAGATGATGAGAGCAGCTATAATCCATGCTATAATTGTGCTGTTGTCATCCCAGCCCTTTCACAGGCACTAGAATTTACTTTTAAAAGGTTGTTAGGCACACAGAAAAATGGGTGCAATTTGTATGAATAGAATTACAGACATGAAAAATCCACAATTCTTAAGGATCTAGAGCCTCCCCATGGATTTCTATTAGATTTTGCCATTTTCTACAGAATTTAAACTTTCATCTAAAAAGAGTTACTAGATCTCTGGTTGCAAAGATAACCAGGGGCATTCAGTTAGCTTTGTGAATCGAGATATTGAAACAACAGGATTACAGGAGGTGTGAACTTCCCAGTAAAGGCTTTTCACTTTAAAACTTAATCACTTAATTAGCAACACAGCTATGGAAATGTTAACTAATGATTATACCAAAAACATCCAGTTAATGCACTTATCTAGTGTGAGTGGTCATTCAACATCTTGATGTTTCATTCCTTTAAAAAATTCCTTTTGAGAAAGGCTGCACATTTTGCACTTCAAAGCATAATTTAATTATTAAATTTCACAATGCATTACAAACGTCAGTCAAGTCTCTCAGTATCTTTTGTAAGGTAGCTAGGTACTATTAGCCCCATTTTACATATAGGTAAACCTAAGCACCTACTGATTGATGTCACAGAGCACCTCTGTGGCAGAACCAAAATAAAAAGGAAGTTGATTGGAATTCAGGAGATCTGTGTTTGTTTCCTGGATCTGCCACAGACTCCTTGGCTAAGTCATTTCTCTATACCACAGTTCTCCCCCTGGTAAAGTGGGGGTAATACGTTACTACTGCACATGGATTTCATGAAGATAATTCATTAATGCTTGTGATTTATTTAGAAACATTGATGGGGATCTTATATGTGCTTAGATGCGTCTTAGGACTTCTGACTCCCAGTCCCCTGAAAATAATGTCATTTGCTTTTGACTGAATAATTGAGGAAATTAATATTGTCCTTAAAAATCATATAAAAAGTAATGGTAAGTTTGTCAGTTTTTAAAACAAATTGTTGATCTCCTTACTAGTAAGATTTGGTCTTTCCTATAAAACTTGGACCAACAGCAGTGAAAGTCATTGTTATCTATGTAAACATGTATGTATTGCATCATAGCTGGGCTTGGACTACTCTAAGGCCTCCATCCTGCAAACACTTTTGTACTTGAGTAACTCAAGTTCAGTGAGTGTAGTTACTCACATGCATAAGTGTCTTCAGGATCAGGGCATAAGCGAAGCCAGGTCTACACTTAAAAATTAGATTGACCTAGCTATGTTGCTCAGGGCTGTGAAAAATTTTGCACCCTGTACAACACAGTTAGGTTGACCTAACTCCCTGTATAGGTGCTGTTAGGTCAATAGAAAAATTCTTCCATTGACCTAGATACCCCCTTTAAGAAAGATGGATTACCTCCATCAGCTACAGTGCTATAGCTGTGCTGCAGTCGTGTAAAAATAGGAGGAACACACAAAATATTTGAAGAGATTACTTATGTTACGTTTGTTTCTTTTAAAACCTAGATATATAAGAGCTTGGCATATTATTGTCTGAGGGATTATGGAAAAAATGGGTTTCCAGAAAGTATCTGATTTAGGGATTTGCAGTATTTTACTTTAAGGTAATAAATATTTTTGAAAAATCTTCATGTTGGAAGTCTATCTAGTATTAATACCCTTGCTTTTGACTTGTCACTTTAGTGGTGTACTGATCAGCTGTACTGTCAAATTGTTTGCAGTATTCTTGGAGGGTAGCAGCACTACCCTTTGATTTTATAAGAAGTCAGAGAACAGCCCCTCCCCCAGCCTTTTTCTGAACAGCATGCCTCTTCTTCCTGTCAGCTGACTGCTTCTCCAACCCCCTGCTTCTGCATCTCCTCATTGAAAGCCCACATATTTCTCCCCCAATTTCCTTATATGCTTTGGACTATATTTAGATTTTAAATATACATAGAGCTAATTTCTTATTGCACTGCAAAATTTGTTGCTCTTTGGAGCAGCTGGTTTCTCGATTGAATTAAAGTCCAATAAGGAGTAAAAGTTTGCATAGCTTACACTAGTGCAGAAGATACGCCTATGTAAATATACCCATTGTCTTGAGATCATATAAGGCAACAAGTCCACTTATCCTTCCATGTTCAAATTTCTATTCAGTGGGCGTAGGTAGGTCTGCTTTTACTTGCCCCAGTGTAAATCTGGAGCAACTCTGCTGAAGTCATTGGAGTTTCACTGATGTAACCTCTTTGGGGAACCATTTTTGTGTTCTATGTTTGTACAGCACCTAGCAGAAAG